TTCTTACTACATATGATGTGTCAGCACCTACAGTACTTGGGGGAGGGGATATTGTAGTGGTTTAACCCTAACTGGATTTTTGAACTTTTATTTACTTTCTAATTGTCTGTTTAACTACATTATTTCATACTAGCCGCTATGCGGCCAGCCTTTCTCTGGCCTGGCCTTTAAATGTACCAGAAAAATGCCTAAAGAGAACACCAACATTAAATTTAAAAATGGCACAGAATTTTACTCTGCAAAACAATTTTATATATATTAAAAAAAACTCCACAAATTTCAATTAAAATGTATCTCTACATATAATAAAAGAAAGAGTCTGTCTGCGTGTCTTTCATCTGCGCTGCGTGCAAGCTAATGGACCCACGGCTACGAAATTTGGTACATAGGTGCATCTAGACAAGAGCCAGTGCACGTCGAAGCGATTTTTTCGAAATTCGAATTCGAATTTTTTTATTTTATGTTTCGTGATGAAATCGTGTCATTTTGAGACATAATGGGTTGTAGGAAAGCAAGATTTTACTCTATACACTCCATTTTCACATCGTCATGAAATGTAGGCACTTAGCTATTTTACGAACCTAAAATAAATTTCATGTTTCAATAAATCTATTAAATACAAATTTATTTAACAAAGAGAGCTTAACACCTTTTCAATGGGATTTTTCCTAAAAAAGTTTATTTTTAAAAATGTATAGTTTATTTATTTATTTTAGACACGTTAAACTTTCATCTTTGTGACTGCTTTTACAAAAAGAATTTTGGAAAAATTATAATATTTTGTATTTTAAAAAATATTTTTAAATGAAGCTTCTGAGTACACTTCTCACATCTTTAAAAATGTGATTTTGGCAACAATTTTCCTGTTTTATTGTTAATGATAGATTTTTAATGAAATCGCATATTTTGAATAGTTTTATTCTTTTAGAAATATGGGTTTGGCAACAGTTTTTCATCGTATTTCTTATGTCACTGTTTTTAAGAGATTGGCATATTTCATCGTCATTTATATATATCTATAATAAATTTTTATTGATTTTTTTTTGATAAAGTTGTTTTACAGAGTAAAATTCTGTGCGGAATTCTACGTTTTTTGAGTTGCTTTCATGTTATTTTTTGCTTATTTCACTGTTTGTAAGATATTGAAAAGTTTTGCATGATTTTTTTTTTCTTCAACATAAAGTTGGTTAATTTTTTTATTAGGATAATTAATATTTGTGTTAAGGGATATAGCTTATTTCATTATAATTTTTTTCTCTTGAAAATATAAGATGTAATATCATTAATTATACTTTGCTTTTCAGAATTTTTTGTATTCTTTTATATTATTTATTGCTCATTTCACTGTTTTTAAGATATTGAAAAGTTTTGAGTGACTTTTCTTAGGAAACAAAGTTCTTAACCTCCTTTATACCATTTGAGTTCTTAAGATTTTGCAAAGGGAAGTTGGTTAATTTATTTATTAGGATAATTAATATTTGTATTAAGGGATATTGCTTATTTCATTGTAATTTTGTTATACGTAATGACTTTTTTTTATGAAGTTGTTCTCCAGAGTAAAATTCTATGCAGTTTTTTAATTTAACGTTTGGTGTTCCCTTCAGCCATTTTTCGGGTACATTTAAAAGCCAGACTAAGGCTGGCAGCGAAGCTGCTAGTTACATATAAAAGAATTACAATGAAATAAGCAATATCCCTTAATACAAAGATTACTTATCCTAATAAATAAATTAACCAACTTCCTGTTGCCTTCTATCAACAAACATCCAATATCCAAGAAAAACATTAAATTTAAAACTGTACAGAAATATCACCTTCATTTATAGGAGTGGCAACAATGCTGATATCAGCAACAATGGCTGCATGCCATTGTTGCTGATATAATGACAGAGAATTATTGATTTGATGCAATTTCATAAAAAAATATATAATTTTTATAAAAATTTTGTTTGAATTTTGAAAAAATTACTTCAAGTTGCATTGGCTCTTGCTTAGATGCACCTATGTACTAAATATCATAGCCCTGGGTCTATTAGCTTAAGTGCAAGCATGAACAAAAGACACACACACACATACACAGACTCTTCCTTTTATATATATAGATATCTAAAACTGTAACAAAATTCTATGCATGTAACTGTAACCATATCTGTATTAGAATAAGTAGTATAGTTCCACTAGTGCTCGCATGCAGATGCATGCATTCTTGTAACTTGTTATTGTCAAATATGATACTTGTTATGTTGTGAAGATGATGAGTGATTTAATTTGTTAAGCAAATTAGTTGTGAGTAGTGATCTGGTATACTATAATGGAATATTCAATATAGCACATACTTCTTATCCATTATATTTCGAGCTCTATGAATGTAACACAACAGTAAGCATTCCTATCAGTGTAACAAAAGTAAGCATTCCTATCATCTTTACACATATCACAACAGTAAGCATTCCTATCATCTCACATGTTCGGCGTTCTTGTGCCCGTAAGGTTGGCATTGCATGCCATATGACAAAGTGAAAAATTCCGTCGTTGAAACTGAATCATCACTACTCATATGTCACTTTAAATTTCGTGGTTATTTTTGTATTTTTGAAATATTGCTAAGAGATAGCATGACTAGTTCTGGTTTCTTCATAATTTTCCCATTGAGATTTCCTGAATATCTGTTATTGAATATATTCACGTGATATCTATTAGAATTTCAACTAAACAACCATTCAAGATAATTTTTGATATTCACAGCCAATATTTTTTATAAAGTAAGAAATTTTTTTTTTGGATTAAAAATTGGTTATGGTTTTGTGATAAATGTGTTCAAGGCAGGTTGTAAAGCTGTTTTAATGGAAAGGTTGGAAAACCATTTTCTAAAGCATTTTTACATAATAATTTTTATGCAGATATTTATATTAAACATATCAAAATAACAGAGTTACTAAATATAATATCTCACTGTATTGGTTTTAAATTTAAAAATTGGGTGCATTGCAGAGAAAACTGGTGATCAGTGGACGGGATATCACATCTTTGACCACCCATAGGTCCATCAAAAACTGCTTACTGTCAAAAATATTTTGCATTTTCGAATTTAGGTTAGAATATATATTAATTTTCAGCAATTGAAAAAAAGCTTTTTTTGAGGGTGAGAAATTTGGAAGGGGAAAAAAAAATCTAACCAAGAAGGGTTTAAAGGTAGAAAAAATATCCCTTGAAGATAAAAGATCTGGAAGTTCTTCCATGAGCATCACCCTTGAAAATGAGAGAGGAATTCAGAACTTTTACACATCGAACATTGAAGAGTGATCACTAATACTACAGATGTTGTCATATTATACGATTCAATCCAACAATGCAACATGTGCATAGGATTCTCCATGACCACTATGTATCTTGTTACTAAGTATTCACCACTTCCGAATTTCTCACCAACTTTAACAAGTTAATACTTCCAAACCAGGCATACTTACCAGATTTAGCTTTTGCTAACTTCTTCCTTTTCCTAAAGGAGAATTTGCAGTTAAAAGGTCACTGTTTTCATACTGTTGCCAAGATCCACATTGTTAACTTAGACTCCTATGTATACATGATCCCGAAAACACCACTATAATTTTTCCTCACGCTAACTAAGGAATGCTTTTCAGCATACTGCCTTACCAAGACTGATGGTCACTTTAGCTGTTATTACTACCTTAAACACTCCTTTGCTGACATGCTACAGGGCTGATCCAGGGACCTTTTTGATTCAGCAGCATATGGAAATCCTGAATATTTCAGTGTAAAAGACTAAATACTTTCAGAAAATATACAAAAGGTCTGCACTTCTGCAGAAATCTGAAGAAAGAAGAGAAAACTGGGTATGATAAGTCAATTTTTTTTTTTTAAATTTATCCTTTTGATTTCCTTAAAATTTTCATATCTATGCATCTTGAAAGAATTTGCAAAAAATTGCTAATATTCTGGTTTCTTTCTCACAATAACTTATTTTGCAGTTTAAACATCTGTATGGTACATAAATAATACATACATTCTGGTTTCTTTCTCACAGAATATTCTGGTTAGAATATTCTGTGAATATTCTATATTCACAGAATATTTAATATTCTGGTTTCTTTCTCACAATAACTTATTTTGCAGTTTAAACATCTGTATGGTACATAAATAATACATACATAACAAAACATTCATCTATACTGCATGCTATAAATTTGAAAAGTTCACTGTATTTACAATAGAAACAGCATAGTTATTTTCATTCAATAAAGGAAGTTGTCTGCAGTGGTTCATCTCAGAAAGATTACTACATTCATCCAAAACATGTTGACAGCAAACAATTTATATGCGAAGATTTTGATGCCACTGATTAAGAAGCACGTGAAATTTTGGGATTTTACTGGCTTTGATTTTATTTTCTTACGTCTTTGTGAATTAGGTTCCAAAGTTCTTAATTTTTGTCTACAACTGATTACACATATATTGAAATGATAGTTTAAAATAAAAAAATGAAATTCTGAAAGGGATTAAAAGCGACTAAAACAAATTAAAGATTGATGCAAATTTGAGTGTGAGCAAATGCAATTGTACAGAAATTGTTGGACAGTGATTTTACCATAAAAATCATACTTTTCTAACTATCAAAAATTTTATATTGATTAAATAAGATTCAATGATTCATACCTCTTTACATATATTTTTGCTTGAGATGTGTCACCTAAGCCCAGTCATGACCATTCCACAATCATCAACATGATCTTCTCACTGTGTTGATCTTTCACATTTTATGATTTCTCATGCAATGTGAAAAATTCATTATTATAAAATAATACATGCACAATGAAATAATACAGGAAAATGTTCCTATGTTGTGTTATTATCATTATTTATACCTATTTATGTTCATGAGCTCCATTTGGAATAATTTATCAACATTAAGTGTCGCAATGCAATACACAAACAGTGAACAATACAGTACCTTTTACAATATTTGATTTCTTTAATAAATTTCAAAATTCTTTTTCATATACTAATGCTTTTTTTGAAGGCAAAAAGGCAATGCTTAAAAAATTTCAGGCAGCTCTTTTAATGCTTCAAAAGGCAAAAAAAAAGTAAACCTTTCAGAAGGTAAAAGTTCTTGCCTTTTCTGATATGACATTGGAATAGTGAATCCCGACATAAAAATAGTCGTCAAACCTGGAGATGAAGTGGTTAGGATGGGAGACCAGACACTGAAAAAAAGTATAAAATTGCGTATTGGTACTTCAAACATAACTCACACAGTGACTAATTGAAATGGACGTGCCAAAGGCACTTGTTTGGAGATGTTTGCAGTATGATTTTAAAGTGGGCCTGTCAGCAGCAGAATTAAGTCGCTAACTTTGTCAGGCATTTGGAGATGATGCTGTTAACAAACGAACCACTAGGCAATGGTTCCAGAAGATCAAGTCAAGGAATATGTCTCTTAGTGATGCACCATGCAGCAGTCGGCCATAAGCACTGGACGATGAGGCTCTGAGCACAGCCATAGAGAGTGAAGTAGCCAAACATGTGGTAAATTTGCTGCACACTTCTAGGTATCTGATGAAATGATCAGACTCCATTTGCATCACACAGGTATGGTATACAAGCTGAGCAAGTGGGTATCCCACTCACTGTCCAATGCAAATAAGCAACAGCATGTCGCCGTCTGTTTGTCATTGCTTACTCGGCACCACAATGCATCCATATTTGATCGAATACTCATGAGCAATGAAACGTGGGTTCAGTATGACACACCCAGGCAATCCAAACATTGGTTGTCACCATGGGACCCTGTGCTTCACACTGCGAGACCTTCTCTCCACCCACGCAAGATCATGCTGTGTATCTGGTGGAATAGTCGCCAAGTGGTGCACTATGAGCTCCTGCCAGTGAGACAAACTATCACGGCAGGCCTGTACTCACAGCAGCTGGACACCATCTAGAGACTGAGCTGGAAGACACTACCTTATCCACCATATTCCTCAGACCTCCCAACAGACTACCACCTTTTCCATTTCCTGGGTAACCATCTTCATAGGAAATCTTTCAATAACTGGCCAGATCTCAAGAAGTTCCTCATGGACTTCTTTGCTTCCAAGACTTCTGAGTTTTACCATGATGGCATTGCACAGCTAGCCACTTGTTGGAAAAAGGCACTGGATGCCAACAGTGTTTACTTTGAGGATTAGTGGTGATTAGTATTTGTTTTATGACATTTTCTTTCTGACTGTCCAAAACAGCAAGAACTTTTTGCTTGCCTTGCCTCACACAAAGTTATTAAAAAGAATCCAGCATTTCATGGTTTGATTTGGTTTGGTTTAGTTAATTATGGCAAAGCACACTAGGGCTATCTGCTTAAGAGGAGGGATGCCTTCGTGGAGAACTTTCTAAGGAAAACTGACTCATATACGCGTCACACATGGGGAAAACCACGAAAACGCCCACGCAGCCAGCCTGTTCACGGGATTCGAACCATACTACCAGCGTTCAGTGACTTTACCGCTCGGCCGCTGGTGGGCACAGCATTTCCCGACTTTTGAGGCAGAAACTGATAAGCAAGATTTGATAAGACTTAACATGGGCCATATTTTACATTTCACTAGAGCATATATCAATATTGTGAATGCTATTGCAGTATAAATGAAAATCATTGCCACTAAGAGCCTTATAAAGTTGAAAGTGCTACAATAAGTCATATTGTCCTTGCTCATTATTTATGTAAGAACTACATTTAAAGCATGAATTAACTTACCAACTCCTTCCTTGATACAACAGAATGTAAGGATGTAACTGCTGAAGGAGTATTAAATTCTCTGATGATCTTTTAAGGGAACTTGATTTTCATGATGATTTTCTGAAAGAAAATTTCTTGTAAGTTGCAGCTGATGGGGAATGTTTGGCTGAAATATGTATACTTAAATACCAGTTTCTCAAAATTATAGTTTAGCATTTTGCTAATCATAGATTAGAACTTTCAGTGTCAAATATATAATGAATAAACCGTTTCAGTTTGAGAGCGTCACTGCAGGGGCGATTAATGCATTGCCGATGTGGATATATACACACTGACATCCTGGCATGAGATTACTGGAGCATTTGTCTATTTCCAAAGAGTGTGTTGGAAATGCTTGAACGTTAACAATGACGATGTTATTACCAAATGCATCCAAATAGGACCAACGAATGTGTTGTTAGTCCAAAGGGTCAATTTGCCCAGAAGGCCTATTAATTTCGTTTTGGCATTTTACGTTAGTTCACTATAAATGTAAATGTTGGTTCACTTTTCAGATTGTTGTCACCAAACATTAGAGACCTGTATTATATTTAAAGAAATTAAATAATGTAGAATCTGAAGAAATGTATATATGTTTCTCGCACTGTGATAAAACAATGGTACTGTGATACTTCTTTGGCAATATGAAGCAACTTCAATGATGGAACACAGAAAATTAAGGCTTTAGTTGCCCATTTCAAAAACTAACAGAAATTGAGAGGAATTTGCATGAAAGACTACTATGAAAAAACACCAAATTTCCTTTTAGACCTAGCCTAGATATGTAATGGTCTTTATGAATAAGCAGAACTTCATGAATTAACAGAATTGAAAGCACATTATGACATTTTATTCTGCTCACAGAAAATTAGCCAATCAAATTAAATTATTTGATTAAAGGAAGATAAACATTGGGTTTTATTATTTAAAAGTTTTACAAACAGAAAAAAACTCGGATAATAGAAAAGTTTCAACAGAAATTGGGTGAGGATATCGACGGAAAAACTGCACTGATATGGCCAGACTTCATGGAAGTTCTGAAAGGGTGCACGGAAAGTCGACTTGACATGCAGGCTATAATGGTTTGGTTTATTGAGATTATGGCAAAGCACACTCGAGCTATCTGCCTCCTAAGTGGAGGACGACTTTCTAATAGAAACTGGCTTGTATGCAAGTTACACATGGGGGGAACCCCAAAAATGCTCATGCAGCCAACCTATTCATGGGATTCGAACCTCTGACCAAATTACCAGTGTTCAGCAACTTTACTACTTGGCCACTGATGGGCTACAGGCTATAATGGCATGCTAAAATTCCACAATGGGTCAAGGTGCTGGATTGTAAAACTTGGCTGTATGATCTTCTTCTGATTAAAAGAAAAATATATTTGCATGAAAGATTTGGATTTTTCTTCTCAGTAACCAAATGCCTGGTCATTCTTGACAAATGCATTAATGTGAAAAACCATTTGAAACAATGGATTTGGACTTCTCTATATGATAAATTCTAAAGGGCTTTTGAGAGTACTTTTTAGGAAAGGAGATTCCATCACAGGGTGTAAAAAATGGTACTTATGTATTATCGCAACCACCTTAGTAGAAGATCACCAAACTCTGGCAACACCATGCACACAACCGTTCTTTAGATAACCATATCAATTATAATCTGCAATCCCAAAATTCATCAAATCACCTTTCTTTCTCGTAAAAAATCGCTGATTTGCTGCAAAATGATTGCGTTTCTAAATCATAAAATGGTTTCCACATATTTTTTTCAAAGGTCTCTCTGACTAGGTAATATTAAGAAGTGTAATACATATTTTTAGACTTAAATTAATATTGTATAAATTATACATAATTTATTAATGAGTAACATAAAATATAATGAAATTGTTTTTGGAGCTTTTTGGCTTTGGTAACTTTCAGTGTTTTTAATAATATCACTAGTCACTACAATGGAAACTTACACACATGCATACAAACTACCAAATAACTCCTCCCTCCCCCCCAAAAAAACTGCTCTAGTAGTTTATCTGCAATCTATATAATTTTATCAAAAGACTTTAAGCATAATATATCTGCATTACTGCTATGTGCACTCACAGCTTTAAGCAAAAGAAAAAAAGTTTTGCTTCCTTTTCAATCCCTGACTTTTTTTTTTTTCCGTCACAGATTCCAAACTACAAAAAATTTTTTAGTCCCAGCTGGTGAAGATCTTGTGCTTAACATTTTAATTACACTGCTCGACATTGAAAGTGCAACACCAAGAAGGAGTGGTCAGAAATTTATGCAAATTTTGGAGTAGACGAACGTTACTGAGTTATGCGAATGATACAAAATGAGCAGCTCTCCGACGCACATGAAGTAAGATATAAGGGAAGCAACGTGCAGAATGGGCAATATTCATATCGTTATTTCTGCCAAATGAATTATTAAAGAAAGTTGGTTTTTGTCCCGGAGGATACGTTTAATAGGAGAGAATGCCAGGCCGCTGTCAACATAGGCACTTCCAGCAGATAGACGATTTTATGAGGGGTATGGTGATCAGACTGAGAAGGGCGGGTTGGTTCTTGCATCAAATCGCAGCTGATACCCACATGGATGCTAGCACGGTGCATCGGCTATGGTGAACATGGTTGGAACAAGGATATGTGGAAAGAAGGAGGGGTGCTGGTGCAGCCAGAGTGACGTCAGCACACGTGGATCGATGCATCCATCGACAAGCTGTGGTGGTCCCGCAAGTCACTTGTACTGTGATTCTGCAGCATGTGCAAGATACCCTGGATGTTCCTGTGTTGACCAGAACCATTTCCTGTTGACTGGTTAAACGTGGCCTGCACTCACGGCGTCCGTTAAGAAGACTGCCATTGACCCCACAGCATAGACGCCAACATTTAGAATGTTGCTGAACTGAATGCAGCAATGTCGATGACAGAATGGCAAGACGTCGTGTTCTCAGATGAGTTACGCTTCTGTTTATCCAGTGACAGTCACCGCATACATGGAGAGAGATCTAATCCGGCTGTAACTGTGGAATGCCCCACCACACGACAACGTCGCATAATTGTTTGGGGCGCTATTGTCTACGATTCCAGGTCACCTTTAGTTCGTATTCAGGGCACTATGATGGCCCAACGATACTTGAATAGCGTAATGTGGCTGATGGCAATCCCCTACCTCCAGGGTCTGCCTAATGCAATTTTTCAGCCGGATAATGCCAGACCACACAGTGCTCGCATCTGTCAACATGCTCTGCAAGGTATACAGATGCTTCCCTGGCCACCGTACTCTCCTGACTTGTCACCAATCGAACATGTGTGGAATGTGATTGGACGCCGTTTGCAGACTCTGCTCCTGCCTCGTTCAGAAGATAAACTATGGCAAATGGTTGAAAGGGAATGGAGAGCTTTCCCTCAGGACACCATCCGCACTTTTATTGACTCTATGCCTAGACATGTTTCTTCGTGCATAGCTGCGGTGATCCTACACCCTACTGAGCCTATGTCCTCCGTTACTACTACTACTACTACTATTACCCTACTGAGCTGAAGCCGTTATCGCTCTGCATTCTGAACATCATTTTGAAATAAAGATCACTTATTGCTGCTTGCTGTCTCTGTCTTTTTCCTAAATTTCATCACTTTCTGACCACTCCTTTTTGGTGTTGCATTTTCAATGTCGAGCAGTGTATATCCAGTTCATTCCCCTATACGTATTCTTTCTCAAAAGCTATTGATTTCTGTCAGTGATTCAGTGACTTGATCACTTTTTTTAAAAAAAGGATTCTGCAGAGAGGTAGAAAAGGAATTATATATTTTAGTGCAATACTAAACAAAGCAATTTCTCCATACTTTTCTTTCAATTCCAATGCCTGTTTCTTTTTTTAGTTGCTAATAATGTTTAAACTTTATATTTCTGTGATAAAATATACACTAAATGCACTGATAATGGTGTTTGTTTATATCATGTTTTAAATAATTTTATATGTGTATTACCAAGACTTGTCTAAGTTGTTTTCAAGATATTTTCAACTTTAATATACCTTTAGCAATGCTGCAATCTTTTTCTGGATTTTGCTCAAAGTGATTGAAATTAGCTTCATATGAAATAAGGGATCATCTACATCTTGTTTGCTATGTTAGGAACTTTTGACTGAATATTTTTGACTTTTGCAAGTGAATTTTTTTCCACAATTTACCTGAAAATTGGCCTGTCCTTTACAGAGTCCTATACTGAGTTCCAGTATATTTCAGATTAAATTTGGCTCAGACAGGCTAGTTATTTCAAAAATATTTTATTATTTGAATAACATGCTCAATAACATTGGATAAATAAAATTTTTGGTGAATAAATTATGTATATGTGCTGAACAATCACTGAAAAAAGGTTTTCTAATTCTTTTCTTATTTGTACCTATTGTTGGATTGCTGATTACAAAACTACAAATTTTACATTTAAATTTGCTTCCAACTCTTTTAATAGCAGCAACAGCCAGGATAAATAAATTTTTACTTCTATGTGATGCTAATGATGTATAAATAATTTCCCAGGGTTCATACACATTTCCTTACATGAAAATTAAGGACTTTTAAGGACCATGAAAGAAAAAATTAAGGACCTATCATCAAACAAAAAAATGAATAGAATAAAGCAATTATCCATACAACCGACTTCATGCTTGTAATTTCACTTTAAGAAACTAACAGAAGTGTGTATTATGCACTATTATTAAATTCACTTTAATACATACCATTAAACAATTTTGAAAATTAAACTAACTCCCTACAAGTTATGAAGTAGATAACATTAAATTAGGAACATAATTTTTTGAAAAACATGTATAAGTGTATTTTACAGTAATAACCACTATTTTAGAGATTTACATGATTATTATTCAACTTATTTGATATTTATTTAAACACAGTCAACTACTATTATAATCACAATGTAAGAATATTTTGCAGATTAAAATAACTGATTTGTAAACATACAATTTATTTCCTTGGTTTTTTTGAAAGATACTAGAATAATAAACTGTACAATTAAAGATACAAAACATTTATGCTTTTTTTAAATCTGAAATCTTTTCAGCTATTTTAACATCTAATTTATTTATGTCTATTTCCTTTTCTTTAACTATTCATCTAAGTTCATTTGCTTTGATAAACAAATCAATGTTCCTGCTGGTCTCAGCTTCATCTGCTAAAGCATCTACTTCTTCATAAATATCTTTAATGTCCCTTTGAAGAATTTTTTTCTTCTGCTTCATATAATCAATTTCTTCCTCAATAATATTTCTTTTCCTCTTTGAATTTTTAGATTTAGTTAAAGATTTTTGTTCTCCCAAATACTGAACTTCTAAATAACGAACTCCACTTCTTGCAGAAGCTGCTGCTGATCTCATTTCTTTATTAATTTTGATATTAAGAACACCTCCAGAAAATTTTATGTAATCAAATACTGTGCATTGAAAAATGTATGATGAGTCACTTAAATTTTCAATTTCAATTGCTTTATTTACAGAGAAGCCCCTTTCCACAGAGGCCTGTTCATGTGACAAGATAAGAATACTTGTCACAGTGAATACTTGAACAGTGAAAATATACATTTTTTACTATATGTATATAACATATACATACAGTACAAAGTTTGAGATCCGGACATCCTATATCTGGAATGATCTAAAATCCGGACCTCAAAGCCACCACCAACCAATTTTTTAGGGCTTTTTTGAAGGGAAGGGGTATGCTTTACGCACGTGCATTAGATTTTTTTCCTCATCATAAAAAAACATGTCAGAAATCCCGATTCTTAATCTCAGTTTGGCACTAAATAAAATATCTCATTATTGAAGAAATAATTATTTTAGCATAAATTTGTGTGATTAGTAACTTCATTCCATAGCTGCGTATCTGCTTGGCATAATCTCAAACCGAAACATTTGTTAATTTTACAACCAACTAATATTTTATATCCTTCATGCCGAAATCGTGAATAATTATTTATTGTATTTTGCTTTCATCACCGCAAGTTTATCAACGGATGACAACTTGAGTAATGACTCATGCAGCGACGCCAAATAACAGAGTATTATCCGATTACAGATTTAAGTTTAATGCGCTAAAATGTTGACAAGGGCAGATTTAACAGAAATTTCTTTCCTTATGCTAAAAATAGATTTTGTTAATGATACTCATAGGACAAACGATTATATTTAGTGCTATTTGAATTAAGAATAACTGATTTGTTATTCACATAAAGCCAGAACCAGCGCCAGAGCTCGCATGGTCGCACCAGCGCCAGAGCTCGCATGGACGCACCAGGCGGCAGAATTTAGGGAAGTTAAAACAGAAGTTTTTCATTGCGATGACAATGCCCAAATCATCAATCAATTAACGGAGGGCGAAATCTGTAGTATGGTTCTAAATCCAGAAAATACAGCTACCGATAGTGAAGAAAGTAACAGAGAGGTTACTGAACGAGAAAAAATTTTGATTGACAAGTTATTCGGAATTCTCGACACAGCAATTACAGGACTTGAACAATGGAACTTAATAACTGAACAAGAAATTATATGTCTATAGTATTAGTCTAAAGTATTAGCAAAGAAAACAAATCAAACAACTCACATTGAAAGAAATGTTTAATAAAGTAAACATATAAATATTAAGCTCTTTTCTTTTGTAAATTTTGATACTCTTTAAATCATAAATGCTTCATTATTCCATAAATCATGATTTCATATTTTGAATTTTATAATATCTACGTGCCATCTTAGTAGATTTAAAATGATCTAATATCCGGAAAAATCTCAAATCTGGGATCGCCAAAGTCCCGACGAGTCCAGACCTCAATACGGAATGTATATTTTCAGTTAAACTTCTACCCAATAACTTTAGTAATTCATGAAAGTTAATTTTGCGTCTAGTTAATTCAGGAAAATTAGTTTCAATTAGTTGTTTTCAACTAATAATTGTATCGCCATTAGCAAAAATAATGCATTACTATCAACAGCATAGGATTAAACCAAATACTTAATTCTCTATTGAAGCTTCAAAACGTATTTCCGAACTTCACTTTTTCTCGGCTAGCGTTAAAAAATTTGCCCTTGCCGACCTAAAATCGAAATGGAGCCAATAGATTTCTCGCGAAATCGATAACAGACCCTCTGCAGAAATAAACTCATAATCCCGATATCCCATACATACAGTATGTGCAAAAGAGAATAAACTCCATAGAAGGTGATAAAAATTAATTTATGGCTTAATTGAAACAAACACAGAAATTAAGCTAAGCAAAACCACGTAAAAACAAATTGAAATGATAAAACGAAACTTAATTTTCATGTGAATTTTCAGCGCTGACTCTCCCATTCTAGAAATTTCAATTTGTTTCAGACAAAGACCACATTTAAGGATTGCCATCCATCAATATCCAGTCTTTGTAGTCAGCTTGATGAAGCCACAGTTTATTGAAAATGCACTTTTCAGGCATCTTCTTCCTATTGGCGTCGGAAGGGTTGTGGCTTTCCAGGTTGGTATTGCTCTTATTTTGGCAAATATTTTTGGAATCCCCCTTTTTTTTCTCGAGCACCTTCCTCATCACTTTTGACTCATCACTTCCGGCTTCACGCTTTCGTCATAATCTGCCAAAATTTATGGATAACACCTGTTTCGAAAGATTGGGTGAACAGCCAATCAGACACCGATACTTTCGTTCGGGTAGCTAATTGTTTTATTTATTTATTTATTTTTTTTTTATCGTTTGCAACGCAAATCCGCCAACAGACTGATTAAGAGCCGTGTAATTTTAATTCCATATTCATGAGAAATCGTAATTCACACTTAGAAGGCAATCATTAGAAATGATAAGAAATGTCAAATGAGCAAAATTAAGGACCGTTTATTCATTTTGGCCAAAATTAAGGACTTTTAAGGACCAAAAATCATTTTTGAAAAAATTAAGGACTTTTAAGGACCGTACGAACCCTGTTTCCACTGAACGTGCAGTTTTACCTGTTTTGCAAACATATGTGGATTATTGGTTGAATGTGGATATTAGAGGTATTACAATTTAAAACATCTCATCAGTGATATCATTGTAAGAAAGTGATACATGTGAACTATGATTTCACAAGGCAGATGGCTCAAGATCACACAAGAAGCATAGGCTCGCATGCTGCATCATACTTAATCACTTAAAAATTCACTTAGATATTCTTAATACCTCATATGTATGTTATGTATGTGCATTTATGCTTGTTTATATTAAAACATGTTTTATACCTTGTATTTATCATTTGGATTGATATTTCTTGAATGATTAGATTAAAGAAGATCATCAACTAGTGGCCATTGGGAAAGGAATAAATTCTGCTGGAATGATTGACACAAGTTTGGTGACAAGTCTGCCAACTTTGATGGTTGTTGGGATTTCACATTTGGATAAGTAGTTTTATTTTCATATGTTTAAGGTATATGAAATACGTAGGCTTCTATATCTGAAATGCATTATTTTTTCTCATTTAGTAGGTAAATTAAAAAAAAAAAAAATTTTAACATCTACTCTTCCCTTGGGCATGCTTGAATATTACAATATATTTACTACATATTCCTCCCTTGGGCAAGCTACTTCACTCAAGTAGTAGAGTTCAAAAATAAGCAGGCAAAGTGAAGTGGAGAAAGATGCTTGAAACACTACAAACAATCTTTTCTGGCTTAATGAACCAATACCCCTTAGATCCACTTTCTTCCACATAGTACCAGAGGGTGAAAAAAAGGCCACAAAACGGTTAAAAAGAGGATGGTGACTATATGACAACATAGAAGCACAATGGTAAAGCTTATCATGATGACTATATGGTAATTTATGAGTGCAAAGAGTTGAATGTAGGCTTTTGATACTCAAGTTGCTAACAAATAAGATGTTCTATTTTATAATTTTTGACCAGAAATTTCTGCTTTCATTTCGTTTTTCTACATTTAATAAGAATTTTTATAAACTATCCAGAATTTTCACATATATTGGCATCTCAAGCTTTTAGAGAAATCGAGTTTTTACTACACTAACATAGCTTGTTTATATCTTAGGTTTGATTTAACCCATTTTTCATCACTTAGAAAATCTGTAATGTACACCACGACTTCCTCGTATGGAATATTAAATTATACACATTTTTTCCTGCAGTTCATTTAAACTTATTGAATTGAATTAAATCTACTTTGTTAATAGCGCATAAAGCACAACAAAATAAACACACTCTTTAAAATTTACCATAGTGACAAATAGGGCACTAGGTTCACTTAACAGCATTACATCTGATTCAATTTATAACTCAGAATGCACAAACGTTATATCATCTGAAGAATTATCTAATCATTGCCACATGCTCTATTCAAATATTATAATAAATCTAAAATGACATATTAAAGAAATTAAACAAATGAAAAGTAAGTTTTTCACAGACGATTCAGTGCCACTTACCTAATGAGCATGTGCTACTCATAAACATTCTCCTCTGTTCGAGATGGAATGGTGACAATGTTTGCTGAAACATTTATTTCCTTGAATTTCATTAGAGATATATTTCTCATTCAATTAATTCAGTTCTCACTTCGCGGCAAGGCTCAAAATATCTTCATTAAAACTGAAAGATATAGAAAAATATAAAACACCAATTATAGTTAAAACAATAAAAAACCCTAAAACACCAAATACAGCTAAAACAATTAAAAAACAATTTTTACAATTAAAATTAGAGTTTCTGTGCAAACATAAGCATTTCGACCAGCAGACAAGAAAGCAGATTTTCCGGTTTCCTTTTTCGTTCCACTCGTCAAAAAGAAACTGAAGGTGCAGAAAGACTTAATTCACTATTGTGCTAAGTTTCAAATGTAAACAAATATGGCTGCTACAGTAAGAAAAATTAGGCTTAGCAGCACTTAAACTACTTTTAAATTGTTGATAATTCCACAATACTGCATGAAGATTAATTAAATACATAAAAACCTTAACCAGAAGATAAGAACAATAAAATTCAATCATTTTAAGGCCAAAAAATGCGCAATTTACCAACATATAAGAATAAAAAAAAACTGGGCACACGGAGCCGAGCAACACAGCGGGTATATATATGTATATATTTATGCACTTTTGGTGTGGCCAATTGCAACCAAAAAGGGAGGTGCACAACTACACATTATAGCAGTCCTATATACAAAATTTCAACTTTCTGAAACTACTCCTTTTTGAGTTATGCAAGACACACAAACATATATATATACATACAGACATCACAAAAAAAATCGCTTCTGAATCCATTTTAAATCAGTTTTAGAATTCGTTTGGGGAGAAAGAGTCCTTGGTCAGAGCATATTTAAGGGTGTGCCTTGGATTATCACTAAGTTGTTGTTTCATTTATGGTAACCTGAGTAGTTGAATGTTATGGAAACCCTATTATGACGTAATTGGTTGCATGATTGCAATGAATTTGACTAATGGAAAAAGATTTGTCCGAGCTTGTTTGTGTCTTCAATGTTGGTTAGGAAGTAAATTGCTTATTTTGTGGTTTACACGGTAAAATGGCTGAATGTGGCAAGATTAATTTGAAGTTTCTGTACAATTCAGAATGAAAGGGAAAAAAGCATTAATTGACTAGTGTGTAAATGAAGGTGTACTTAATAGCCATTATAAGTGTCCTGTTTATACAAAGGAAATGTGTATGATCAAACATTGGAGGATAATTTTTACTCTTATTTTTGTGAATTTATGTGGCAATGTCAGTATACAAATTTCAGTTCAAATAATTTTAGGAAGTTTTTGGATGCCGTTAAGGAATTTTGTTTGACTAAAGACACAGAAATTTCTAAGGTAAGTCAATATTTGCTTTGTCAGTACTTAGATGTTATAAGGAATTTCCTTTTTTATGTTATTTCACTGTTTGATTTAAAATGTAGTTTATTGAGATTATATATTTTTTGTTTGTCTCTAGAGTAGAAATGGCCATTCCTTTGACTTTTAAAGTGAAAATAGATCGATGTGTAAATGGACAAAGTTGAGATAGTGCGCAATGCCAAATAGGCGAAAATAGGTCGATGTGTACATGGATACCGAGTTTGTGCAATTCTTGGACTTGTTATTTTGGTTTTTGTGTAGCGGCAATTTTTGGCACAAAAATCGGCACTATACGAAGCCAAAATATTAAGTCAAAGAATTGCACAAACTCGGTGTCCATGTACCGCCAAAAATCGCTAAGGGGCACCTGTAAATATATTTTTAGCGAATCCTTTATTGTCCTTAAATACAGACATCAAGCAAAAACATTGACGAATTGCATTCGATAGCAGTCAAAATGGATATTTTCTTTGAAATACAATACCCAGAATTTTTCGTGATTACAATACTTCCTTTACTTTATACAAGGAAGTAAAAATGGGAAAATTTCTGATTTTAATTAATGATTAAAAAAAAAATCTGCCAATTAAAATAATTGACATCCTGTTCAATCACCTCTCATGTCTCTTTAAAATGAGATCAAGATCATTTCAGTTTTAATAAACGAGTGTGAACGTGACTTCTCACAGATGATTTTAATAGTGACTTCAACAAGAACTTTTTTTACATTTAAGCATTGTATCAAACAATGCTTATAAAATTAGCAATTTCTCCTTTCGATTCATTTAAGTGTACAAAAATTTGTCATTTTTGATAGTACACCATCTGGTGTGAATGTCAAAAGCAAGCAAAGGAATAAAAAAGATGTTAATGAACATAACCAATTTAATAAGTATTGTGGATTGTGTAGTATAAGGGGTAATACATATTATTGGTAAAAGGAATTTTATTCATCCATAGCATTTACTTTTCCCAATTTCAATTATAAAATGATAAAATTCTTCAGTCAAATTAAGTCTACCTAAGCCTGAGCTAGCTATTCCATAACTTGTGGTCACTATGCATAAACAGAAATCTTTCAAGAAACTTTCAGACTTCCCTTTTAGCCAGTTTACAACTGTTATTATATATCCATTATCTAATAGCTATCTCCCATGCACTTTTATTAATCAAAAAGACAGTAGATTTCTAGATTTCTTAATAAAAAATATGTCATTTATACTGAAAGAAAATTAGAATGATCCCTGAAAGCATTGTAGCCACTATTATACTGGGTGCTACAATAAATGTTATTCCTGATTGAGCTTGCCGTTGCACTGCAGCATCTATTCCAGTATGACTCTAAACATAAATTATCTGTACAAATTTTATTTTATGATATCTGCAACAGTTATGCCAAAATAAATATTTACATTTTACATATTAGTTGCCTTTACTCCTGATAATGTTGGATAAAATGTTATACAAATACACATATTGACAATTTGGGATAATAATTATGATATTATTACTATTAAACATTCAAACACAAAAGAAAGCGACTTCACATTTGAAAGACTATTTACAGAAATTTCTGTATTACTTTCAATCAATTGTTTTTTAAACTTCTAAATAAGTTAAAATATATTAGCTAAAAAAATAGAATACTACTTACATTAATGTTTACAACAGCCTTATTTCAAAATGAATATATATATTTTTCATAGCAGACACTACTCAAAACACTTGGCGCAAGTCAGCTGCAAAAGTCAGTCAGATCAGAAAATTACAACCATAATCTGTTTCTTTACATTTTTAAATGATAGAAATAGCTCTCATAAGAAACATTACATACTAATTTAAAAGATTACTTTCAGTTTAAACAAAATAATTATAATTACATGGAATTTGCTTTAAATGACTCTGATTAATACACTTGAAAATTGGTATGCTATGCAAGAAACACTCACGATTTCATTGTTTTCCTTAGCAGTGTAAAATATTTTTACATATGTAACTTCACATGAAAAGATTTATAATAAGTCTACTGTATACTTTTCCCACCAATTTCAAATTTTCAAAAAATAAAGATAGTTTAATTTTTAAACGAATAACCTTTGTTGATGCAAAATATCCTACATGAAGAAATAAAATTCCCTTATTTACATTACAGAAAAAAAAAAAAAAAGAAAAAAAAAAAAAAAAAAAAAAAAAAAAAAAAAAAAAAAAAAAGAAAGAAAGAAAAGGCAACTCAAATATGAAGACTTTTCAAATAACCAAATTAGCTATAATTCTAATTAATTTGAATTGAAATTTGTTTTTGAAAATGAATATTATCAGGTTTATTACACAAAAATTTTTTAACTTTAATAGCTTCAAAATGCATACTTGAGCATCAAATATGAAAGGCTTAATGTATTTTAACCATGTATGCAAAAAGAAAGACATACACATACATTCAAAGAAGTAATAAAAAGGAAAAGAAATGATACTATTAATCACAAAAATTACAACAGACAATACAAAAAATTATATAAGTAGTTCGTTATATACGCTGTTTTACCATACCATAGCAGAGAGACTGTAGCATCATCATTCTCCAAAGATGTATGTTAATGCAAGGCTAAAGATGACATAATGTACCTGTTTTAATATCCACTACCTTAATTAGATAAGAAAATATATTGGATTAGCACATATAGATATATTGATTAATATTATTTACATATAGATAAGAAAATATATTGGATATATTATATTAACATTATTTTTTAATGTAGGAGAATGATAAACAGAAAATTTAGATGCAAGCCACTACACTGTTAAGAACCTGAAATTTTAAATAAAAATTAGACTATAAGAAAGCATTAAAATTATAGCCATGCATTTTACAAATCATTATCAGATAAAAAGAATACAATTTATATTCTAATAAATAATATTAGATATCACTCAAAATATATAAAATCATATATAACCTCCAGCACAATTTTCTACCAAAGTGAAGGATGAGTTTTTAGTTTTGTATTTAACGAAAAATAGATGTTTAAAGATAAAACTTCCTCGATTACATAGTCACACTAAACTTCTAAAAATGACTCAGATAAATACTGCTTTAAAAAAAATGCTAAAATGGGAATAAACTGTAAATTTTGTTATATAACTTCATTAACAAAGCGGTTAATTTTTAAAAACAAACGCACATGGTAATCTTTGCTTAATTTACACGGATATTCAGAAGCACCAAAATTATTTCCTGTAATTATTTCTTGACAGAGAAGTAAAACTCTTCAAATTAACAGAACACTAAATACAATTTTGGTAATCAATCATTATAAATCTAACTCCTAAAAGAATATAGGATAGCATATCAAACCTATGACAAATGTAAACAATCGAGAGTGAATGCACCAACAATCATACTCAAAATGCACCATAAATTTAAAGCTTTGAAATGCATCCGAAACCATTATATTTTTATATGCAAAGCATAATAGCTCTTCGACTGATATCATAAGATTAGTACAGCCTTTTAAAACTCAGACAAAAGAACAAATTGCCTGCACACAACTCCGAATTTCAAATTCACGGACGGCAAAAATTTTCACCAACGCAGTCTGATAACGAGGCTACGAAAGGGATGCTGGGTCACGTGGACAATTAGTTGTCATTCGTCTTGGGCAAAGATGGCTGCGAATGTTCAGTCTTTGGTACAGTACTGGAAAAACTTCGACTTACCGCAGCTGCAGGTAGGCTTTTAATATTGTATTTACAATACAAGTTTGATTTATGAATATCTGAAGTCCAACCAGCCCGATTTAGAAAGCTGGAGACACTACCAAAGTGGCGCTTCGGTTGAGAAAAAATATTGATAGGTTATCAGCAGATATCGATGCCTCTCTCTATCCTCCGGTAGAGCTGAGATGAGTAGAGCAGCTTCTCTTTGTTGCTCTTTTCATTGCCACTGACATAGTATAGATGTGATAGAAAAAGATCTGCAGCCTTTTTTTTATAAGTGTACGGTGTCTCGCGACGTCCCAAATTTCAGTACTTGTGTGTATGACAGGATCGTTCCCATGTGCACTGTAGTTTAAAACTCGCGCAGTGAAGTATCGTTAAAATTTTGAGATCCTGCGCCGGCAGTCGGCTGGATTCATGCCGAGTTCCGATGCGAGTGCTGCCGCGTATATATCCTTTCTTTTGCGCACGGTACCACTTAGTGAGTGTCATGAGTAGGGGAATTACGGGCAAATAAATAAGTCCGCACTCCTTTTTAATGTTATTGTACATTACTAAACATAATTATTCGTGGGTTAAATATCAGATAGGCAAAACATAATATTCGTTTCCCATTCATGAAATATTAGAGTGAAAACTGAATTTAATGTCTCGTGATTATGAGTTTGTATAATGTACTAAAATTTGAAGCAATAAAAATTACACTTTCCGTCTTACTATTTGTTATGAATGATAAAAAAATTATAAAATAAATGAGCAGCTTTATAAATTTGAAAATATGGTAATTCACTACTGTGATTAGTAACTCTCATTATTTCGTTAACTAACTGGGTTGAGTATTGTTTTAAAATCGCAAATTTCTAACGGTCGTTTAGATTTAACAGAAAAAGAGAGAATCGGCTGTTATTTGGAAGTTTTAATGATAACAATAAAAGCTTAGTTTTGATTTTTTAACAATAAAATAATAAACAACAATAAAAGCTTAGTTTTAAGCCTAGATTGATTTGATTGATTTGACAATTTTGATACTGAAAAAGAGATTTAGTATATTCCGAAGGGCATCATGGTTTTATTTTAGAAGCAAAATTTATCTTGTATGACAGCTTTTACTCACCAAGAAAGATCACTCTTGAAGTTTTCATCCTCTTTTTTTATTTGAAGTTAATATCAAATTAAAATTACATTTCACAAAAATTCGTGTCGACTGCAAGGCTGCAAAAGGAAGTTTTACACATGGGTAAAGTGGAAGTCAGTATTTAATTTTAGCTGATTTTTTTTTCATTGCTTTTATTACGGGAGAAAATAAGTAGTAAATTGAAAAAAAAAAATAAATAAATAAAATAAAAAATAAATAAATGTAGAGCTGTATACTTAAATATTTATAAATTTTACTAATCGTCAAGGTGAAATTGCTTAACCCTGCAATATAATTCGTTTGCATGGACTAAAAATGTAAAGTAGACGAATAACATCTTTTCTTTTTTTTTCATTTTATAAACTTTGATAATTTATTTTATCTTCAGATTAATGATTTATATTGCATTTAACATTTTCGTTGCTACAGTATTTCGAAAGCGGGCGTTTTGTTTACATATTTGTCTGCTATTTATTTGCTTTTTCGCCCCTATTAAAATGCGCAGATTTATTTAAAATCAGTTCATTGTTTTAAAGCTATGTGATAACGCTTTCTATTACGTTTTTCATAGTACTATGAAACCACAGAAAATTAATATTTCACACATGATCTGAGATCGATTCATCTTATTTTTTGCATATTCATCTTTAAAAATACTAGACTCTTCAATTTAAATTACGTTTTTTAAATATTAAAACGCTTTTAGTTTTTTACCATAGCTTTTCTTTTTTATCAGTTGCCTTTCTGGGAATTAAAAATATGAAACATTTTCATTATAGGACGGCATGATGTTAAATTTTGCCAAACATAAGAAATATGCCTCTTGGATTAGGTATTTCTGCCAACAAATGATTAAAATGTAATGAATGACACTCTTTTAAAAACATTTTTATTGGCACAACTTGCTTTGAAAATAAGAACGCTGTTTTAAAAGATAAGAACAATTTATTTAATTTAAAGATGGCCAATGGGCAGTATCGGTTAAAATACGCTCAGAGGATTTTTTTAAATTTTTATCCGACCTTTCCACGTGAATTAACACAAGAAACAATAACATTAAGTTTCGACTAGTACTATGGCGTATGTTTTTCTTTTTTGTAAAAAACTGCTTAGCGCACATCGTCCTATAACGGGAACGATCCACATTCTCATACAAATAAAAAGATTTAAAACAGTTTACGTATTTTACCCAAAACTTAGGCCATTTTCGTTCTAAAAAAGAAAAATTAGACAGATGATATTTAGTTCGGAAGAATCGAATGACTTAGCTTCAACTATAAGAAAAGCAGATTAAAATTTTTACGGTGAATAAATGTACGGGTTTAGAATAGACCTATGATATACATTTCATGAAAATCATAAAAACAGTAAGCATATTGCTCTTTTTATGGCAATCAGAATTACTGAGTAGTTATTGAGCTTAATTTCAAGAAAATATGATAACTATTGTTCTTTCACTTCTAGAATATTTTATTAAAACAAAGTTTCGATATATCGGAAGAAAATACTTTGAAATTGGAAATTCGTGTGCTTCGCTTCCTGCTTTAAATTATATTACACGCTTTCAATGTTTTTAAATGTAACTAAATATACGAAATGTGTACAAGCATTTGTTTATCTTTCCGTAAAAATATCCAAATTTGAAAATATACAATTACTTTGAAATAAACTGAAGTAAATTAAATGCGTCTAATAAATAAATATCCGACTATTAAATCTAATCACCTTATTTCAGTCGAAAACTGAGCCAAACAATAAACTCGAAAATAATATTAATTGTCCAACTGTTGAATTAATGAATGAGAGTTAAAAGTCTTTGCTTATTTAAAGACGGAAGTGCCTTGTTTATTTAGTAAGTCATTTAAATATTAAATACTTGAGTACTGTAAGAAATAATTTTTATTATACATCTAAACACACTGAGATGCAACATTTGAATCGTCAGTTATCTAAGGGAAATAAATATTCTCAGATTGTGATTAGTTAATATCTCAGCAATCAGTATTATAAAATAATGTTTTAAAATATTAATTTGTAGGTGATGCACATTCTAGCATCGCATCTGACAGAAACACGTCAATGTAGAATTTAGAATTAGACAAAATAGCACCTTTATATTGGCATAGATTTTGAATAAATCTCTATAAATTTTGAGAACGAATAGACCTACGCACTTCTTCTTAGAAAAATTTTGTTTCTAAAACTTGCTTCGAGAACAAAAATAAAAAGAGCAAAAATTGCAAAACGTGTTTGCTTTTGATAAAGAGGATCCGTATTTCATCGATCTCGAAGTCGATGGAATTTCGTTCAGAATTTATGGTAAATCTTTTACCTAATTTTAAAACATTAAATTTTAATAAAGAAAGGAAAATATTCAAGAAAATTTTATTGTCAATTCAATTTTTATGCATATAACTACCTGCTGTTAATTTTATTATTCTTGTAATGCGAGTTTAGAATATTTTTCGATACTTGTGTCTTTTTCCAGATTGGAAGCTTCGGTTTGGAGATTGGGAGCTGAATGACGATGTGTCTGACGAATATATATATTTTTTTAATTTCTGAAGGGCACCGTTTAGTTACTGCTTGCAATACAGATTCGAAAGCAGTTGTTAGATACGTACCAATTCATTTAGCTTCTGTGTCAGTATTCGTTAAATCTCTGAGATCTGTGATGAAAATATAATATTAAATAGTACACGCGGAAAATTAAAACTATAAAGAGACCATTTATCGGAAATATATCGCCATTTTTGCCCCCTGTTGAAGCTGACACGTTGGATAAGGAGAAAGTATCTTTCCTCTCTTTTAATATTATTTAGACTTTGCACTTTCAGCTTATCCACAAGGAAACAAATGTTGTGTTTTAAATAATTAGTTTTTAATTTATTTACCAAAATTGATTTGTTTGAATGCGACTGAAATTAAGTTTTAGAAGCAATGTATGAGGAATTCACCATGGAGAGCGTTGAGTTTAAAGTTTTAAGATGCATTAAATAGTTTTAAATATATTTTTAAAAATAAAAAATTATAATTTGGACTTCAGAAATGAAAATCTGGGTCTTAATGATTCAGAGCTCCATTCAACCTTCTAATTTCTTCTAATTTGCTAGATCAAAATGCATCCATTTCTCATTTATAAATATCCGTTCTAGGTTGCGTATTAACACGACAATACTGGATTTCAAGGGATGTAGAATGCCTCTGTAATGAACCATAACCAATAAACATTAGTTTTATTGGAGCTCTGTGAACTAGAAGGGTTTTAAAATTTAAAATACTAAAAAGCGTTGGTCAAACAGCAGAAAATTTTCCTGAACAAGCGTAAAGGTGTTGAACGTTTTGAAACTGTAGATATATTTATAGTTGCATTGATAGTTTAGACAAGATACGGCCTTTGATATACGTAAAAAAATTATCCGAAATCTAAATTTATTTTTAAATTTCTGAAGATTTTGGGTTATAAAATTTTGGTTTCAAAGGAGATCAGGCTAAGAAACAAATGCGTTGTTGGATTATAATTTGATTTAGAATTTAATTAAGATTTATTTTCATATGAAAACAACATAAAAATGCTTCTTTATCTTTACAGATGGTACAGCCTTCCTTTTGAAACTGATAACTAATAATATTTTTTTTTTTTTTAAGTCTGAAGCATTTCTTTTTTAATATTATCAAATAAAAAAATATATGAAATATTTTTTTATAAA